AAAAAAAGAAGAAGGGAGGAGAAGAATCGACAACAAGTGGCTGGACTTCTGTTTTGGTAAGTAATCAAAATAGTAGTATGAAAGACATGAATTGTTTCTTACAAACTTCACAAAACTAACTTCACTTCCTTAATTCATACAGTACTGGATATGTCTTCGCACAAATCTAGTGAAGATAATAGAAGGACGAGAAAACATGATTCTAGCAATCACAAGATGAAACACGAGGATGATACATAAAGCAATCAAGGATGTCTAAGTGAAAAAAAAAAAAGAATCAAGGTAATCACCAATAATCAATATATTTCACTCTACATTCCACAATTGATTAGACTTTACAGTTTTAGAAGTATTATCATACTGGAAAACCAGAAATAGTTTCAGATTGCAGTTCTAGAAGTAGTCCATATTTATCAAACTTTGAACCTATTTTCCAACACAAAAATAATGACATTTAGCATATGAAATGCCAACTATCTAATATGACTGTGTGCATATTAAAGATGTTATTCCTTCTGATCAACCGCATCTAGAGACTTTGAAGAAACAATGACAAAAAAAGAAAGCCAATAAAAGGATGCAGGCAGATACTGAAGATGATGAATCAAACAAGGAAGATGAACCAAACAAAGTACACATACCATAAGAGGTATCAAACAATCTCTAAACAAAAAACTATCACATATGACCAATAACATCTATAAATAGTTAACTAATTCTATGAAAAAAATTGTTCATTAATTGTGTGTTGTTTCACTTTCATAAAATGTTGTGGCTTATTGTGTTTTAGTTTCAAAAATAGTTTAAGTAATTTTGTTGTAGTTCCAGAAATAATGTTGCTATTTCATAAATAGTGTTGGTTAATTTCACCTACTTTCATAAAAAGTGTGCATTATTTTGATCCATTTTCATAAATAGAGTGGGTTATATTAATGTAGTTCCAGAAACAATGTGGCTTAATTTAGTTAAGTTTCATAAATAGTGTGGTCAACTTTCTAAAAAGTGTTGGACATTTTTATGCAAATTGACAATGTCTAATGTTACTATGTGCAGATTGGTTCCGAAGTTCCTTATGCTCAACCACAAGAACAATCTTTAAAGGGAAAATGGCAAAAAAGAAAGAAAAAAAAAGCAAAGAAAAGAAGAAAACTAACACTAAAACTGATAAATTGGAAGATGATTTTGAAGAGCAACATGAACAAAACATAGGAGACACAATAGAACTTGATCAAAATGTGAACAATAATGGGCAACAAAATAATGCTAAAACTGATAAGTGGAGGATTATTCCGAAAAGCAAGACGAACCAAACAAAGAAGACACAACAGAGGTTGAATGAAATCTGAACAAGAACGGGCAGCAAATTGATGATCCTTAGAATCAACATAAATGAAGCCAAAACATAATTTGACCAACTGTTCGGTGAGGAAATGATCAAGCTGGATGCCACCATCCAAAAACACATAATCGTCATGGATACAATTATAGGTGAAGAGCTATTTGATGAGTTCAAGAATGCTAGGAGCATTGCTGAGAAGAGGTACCTAACCTTTTGTGAGATGATGACACATGTAGATAACACATCAAACACAGAATGCTTGATATTTGGTCAAACAAATAAAATGCTTAACAACGAAATTGAAAAGCTTCTACAAAAAGTAACAATTCAGTGGAAGAATAACAATGCATAGAATGCTGAAATGTTAAAGATGCAGACAAAGAATAGCGTAAATTCTTTGAAAATCAATGATTATTTGAATGATTTAGAAGAAAGTCATTCAAATGTGGTTGAAATGGAACCCTCACCAATTCCATATTTGAATGCTTTTGACAATAACTTCCAAAAGACTTGAATGATAAGAAAGAACCCTCATCAATTCCAAATGTGGCTGAAATTAAAGTTAAGATGAAGACACCAACTACGGAGGATGATAAAAAGGATGACAATAAAGGAAAACAATATGTCATTGAGGAAAAGGTACCGACGAGAACAATGATTTGGAATGTACGTGTGAACACGAAAAATTCCTGAAACAAGAAACAAGAATACGTGTACAAAATAATATTTTTTGTGTTTAATGATTTTGGGGTTACGATCTCTTTGTAATTTGATCCTCTGTTTCTATCTTCGTAAGATGTAGATTTGTTGATCCAAGGGCCGTCGAGGCTTGATCTTGGATGAACAGTTGTAAGTTTCTTCAAGGACCTTCGTGGCTTTGATCTTGAAGGTTGATGGAAGTTTCTTCAAGGGCCTTCGGGGCTTGATCTTGAAGGTTGATGGATGAGCGGATCTTCAAGAGCTTTTGGGCTTGATCTTGAAGAACGGTTGGATGTGTGGATTTGTTGATGTTGTTGATCCAAAGGGCCGTTGGGGCTTGATCTTGAAGGAGGATTTGACGAAGAACGAAGAGTGCTTTCTTGATCCTTCGGGATTTTCTTGAGAGCTTTAGAACTTTAAGGCTTCAAGGTTTTAGTGTGTCTATTTGTTGATGTTGTTGATCCAAAGGGCCATTGGGGCTTGATCTTAGGATGAACGATGAACACTTTCTTCAAGGGGCCGTCGGGGCTTGATCTTGAGTTGGTGGAAGTTCTTCAAGGGCCGTTGGGGCTTGATCTTGAAGGAGGATTTGACGAAGAACGAAGAGTGCTTTCTTGATCCTTCGGGATTTTCTTGAGAGCTTTAGAACTTTAAGGCTTCAAGGTTTTGGTGTGTGTATTCCTCTTGATGGAGAAGCCTATTTATAGGCTTTGAGAGTGAATCACCACCACAAAATTTTCCCACCCAAGCACTATTACCTAATTTTCCCACTTAATGCAATATTGAAATTGAAGTGGTCTAACAAATGGCCTAATTTCCCACTTAATGCAATATTGAAATTGAAGTGGTCTTATTTATGGCCTAATTTCCCACTTAATACAATATTGAAATTGAAGTGGTCTAACAAATGGCCTAATTTTCCACTTAATGCAATATTGAAATTGAAGTGGTCTTATTTATGGCCTAATTTCCCACTTAATACAATTTTAAACTTGAAATGTGCTTGCTTTGTCATTGCCCAAATGAGAAAAACTTGCTTTGATCCGTAATGTATTGAAATGTGCTTACCTTGTCATTGCCCAAGTTGAGAAGAAAAGCTTGTTTAATCATCCAAGGGTATTTCTTCCTATTTTGTTGAGTCACATGCCATGTGTACAATTTGTACGACACGTGGCGTATGCCATGTATGCCCTGACACGTCAAAACTTTAATACGTTGGTGAACATTTGTTTCACCGAAATTCCGATGTCTACAGTACGTACTAGGGATGACAGGAAATAGATGCTTGATCCGGGATTCGACTATGGCCTACTAAAAAAAAGAAAATAAAATACAAGTTTGCAGTGAGTGACAGTGAAAGTCTTTCAATCATGCCATCATAAGAAACAACTTTGGAACCCGTCATTGAAAAAGAAAAGGAGATGCCTAAAGGTGAATCACCTATGAAGACTATTGTTGCAAAAACAAAAGTTGAAGCAACACAAGTTGAATTACCTACCAAGACTGAGGTGGAATCCCATTTGAAGAATATAGTTGTAGAAACAAAAGTTGAAGAAACAAAAGGTGAATTAGCTGCCAAGACTGAGGTGGAATCCCATCTTAAGACTGTAGTTGAAGAACCAAAGAAGAAGCCTAAAAAAGAAGCAACTCAAAAGAAGACAAGAGGGGAGAAAAAAATTTGATGTTTAAATACAAGGGCATACACTGGAACAAGAAACAAAAGAAAAAAAAAATTAAGGAATTTTACAACCAATATCAATTGTAAGTGTACATTATTGGCTAAATTTTTTATATGTAACATTTAAAATTATGTACTGCATAAATATGTATGTAATTTTTTTTTTTATTTCTTACACATGGACTACTTTTGGATGATACCCAAACAAGGCATGGCTACTGAGCTTTTTGTGCTAAAGACTGAGTTGATAACATATTTTGTGGATGGAGTGATTGACGCCAGTTTAATTGATGCTTCTTTCTTCATCATGTCCGAAAATGAAACAAAAGAAAGCAAGGAACAAAATCTCTACATTTCTTCCTTCATCTTTGTAAGTGCCGAAATACTTTTTCAACAAATATGTGGTTGTGCAATTTCATAAATAGTGTATAGTAATTGGTTCAATTTCATAAATAATGTCTCATTCTTGTTCCAATTTCATAATTAGTGTCCACTTATGCTCAGCATAAAAAAATAGTGCCTATTTCTTAGTCTACTTTCAGAATGCCTAGTTATTGGTCTAGTTTTAGAAATAGTGTCTACTTCTTGGTCTAGTTTAAAAAATAGTGTCTAATTCTTGATCCACTTTCATAAATAGTGTCTAGTTATTTGTTCAGTTTTAGAAAAAAGTTCAGTTATTGGTGCAGTTTCATAAGTGTTTAGTTATTCCTGCAATTTCATAAGTAGTGTATCATTTGTGGTTCAATTTCATAAATAGTGCTAAACAACTCACTACTACATTTAACAGTTATTGTGACAAAACAATAACCATTGTGCAAAGAAGATTTTTGTCACGTAAAAAAAATACACGACGAACACTTCGTCGCCATCACTTTGTTGAGCAAGGCTCATAAAGAAAGGTCTTGCACGATGAAGAGAAGAACAATCGTCATGCAAAAGTGTTTGTCCGACAAATTAAAGTTTTGTCGCACTAAGTTAAAAGGGGCGAAGCACATTCGTCACACAAACTATCATACGCGACAAACATACTTTCGTCACAAGAAGTTTAAAAGGACGAAAATTTTCGGGTTACAAGGATAGAGCGACGAAGAGTCTCTTTGTTGCATAAAGTTTAAAGGGACAAATGATTTCTTATCACAAGATTTATCACTATTGTTGCATGTATTAATGGGGACGACGAACTATTTCGTCGTGCAAACCATTTTTAAATTTAAAAAAAATTGTTTATAAAATGAATTTTAGACAAAATAATTTTGTTTGGTTAAATTAATTTAGGAACATTAATTGATAAGGAAAAATATTGATTTAAAATAAATATGAAAATGTACATACAAGCGGGAAAAAACTTAAGAAGTACGAATGTTTAAAAAAAAAAAAAGACTACAACAAGAAATCATTACTATCAACTCTGCTAGTCGGCTGTGTTGGGTTAGGGTTCTTGGAGGTAGAAGGTGTATGAGAAGGAGGTGTAACGGTGGGGATGTTGAATCGAACCTGAAGCACAAAGATGATCTGGATCATCCTAGACTCCTAGGTAGCAATATGGGCATTTTGGGTGGTGATATGGGGCAGTCTAGGCTGCAATGTGGGTATTTTAGGCCACCACCTGCCGCTGGAGTTTGGCTACTTGCTATGTCAACGATGCGACATGTCCCAAGGCCGATATGGAATAGGAGGCTCCCATCTCACGATGATGAGCATTTCCCATGCCCCGATACACCTTCCTTGGCCCATAACCAAGTCTGTAGTCGAGGGTGTCCGTCATGATACAAAACTCCGCATCCTTGAGGTGGGGCACCTCCTTGATCGGGGGGAAGCAGGGAAGCCACCTCCTCAACAATAGCCTGACTCTTCTCCACCATAGTAGCCTGTAATTATAAAAAAATGTTAATTAATATTTGTATAACATTTATTTAAAATGAATAATAATTATAAATCTAAGAACTACAAAAACTTACATGGAGCTCATCCATCAACTCATCCTTGTGCCGCACGTACACCTTATTGAACATGTCAATCTTAAGAAACTTTGACCCTGCTTGAATTAAAAAAATAATAACAAATATTTTATTAGTTGTGTAATAGAGAGTAAAACTAATAAATTTCTTTTTTAAAAATGTGTTTACCTGACGTCGCTCCTCTATCCTATATGAGAAGCGTCGAGAGTCGTAGTGGTGGAAAAGTTTCTTCTTTGACCTATATATCGCATTGGCCTTGACTCTTTTCTATTAAACGGAAACAAACCGTATTAGTGTCGATATTAATTAAAAATTATTCAATAAATTAATAAACGTATTAAAATATTAATACAATATTATTAACATATAGTCATATATATATATATATATAATTCACTTACGAGGTATATTTCATCCTGAACATAGGTGCAGAGCCACATCCAATCTTCAGGGTGCTTCACCAACCCCATGGGGCACCCATGTGCTAAAGCAACAACCAGATCCTCATATTTCTCGAAATTCTTGTGAAAGTCGCTCTTCCACTAAGTGAACCGGTCGGTGAAAAGCTCTTGTATGTACTTGGTTTGCTTGGCATCAAGGTCTTGGAGATCATACTGATGCTGCAAATAGGAAAATTATTAATCAAGTTAAAATTCATTAATGTTCACTTCTTTATTAAAAAAATAGTCATAAAAGTCGACAGTACTAGCCGATAACTCATGAAGAACGGAGGCCTTGGTCTCCGTTGGGATAGCTCTCCAAGATTCCCACTACAGGGGCAATGGTGACGCACAATAGAGCCAACGTCATGGACCAAGTGGTTGTGCTGCTCCTTTGTTACTGTCGTCCGATGTCGAGCATCCCACGTAATCTTGATAAGCTCTTAGGTGGTGCGCGTGAGCTGTGCTATGCCCAGGAATCTGCATGGGCCCTTAGTCCTTTTACGAACTTCAAAATGAAATAAGTTAGTGTAAGAACAAAGTAAATAATCTACGGAAAATTAGGTAGAACCTCCCCTAAAAGTATAAAATTTCCCAAAACCTGCAAATAATAAAACAGCACAACCAACACATAGAGGAAACAATTCTCACAGCAAACCAATAAAAAATCATTAAATCTAATATTTGCATAGAAAGATGTATTACCTGTCTCGGATCATTTTCCCTCAACTATGGAAGCCGATGCAGACTCCTCATGCTCCTCACTACTCCAGGGCCGTCTATGAGACTGTCGAGTGCTCACACTAACGGATGAGTCACTGAATATGTCGATGACTCAGGCATTACAGACATCGTGGGCTGGGGCAGAGGTACCAAAGACCTTGACGTCGGAGCCAGTGTCGAAGGAGAGGTGGCGACAATAGTATTAGGTGAGGGAAGTGTCGGAGATGACCTACTCACTAACCGATGTTGCCTAATCAACTACAACAACTACAAAAACCAATTTTATGAAAAACATTTAAAACTATTTTATTAATCCTAAATTTATATAATAATTACAAAATCCAAAAATTGTAAATTAAAAATTCAACCCTAAAATTATACAATTAATACTAGATTTATAAAATTATCACTAAACTTGTGACAACCTGTACCAAATTTTACATTTTTATTAATTTTAGAAGCGTGAATTTACGAAAATGCCCTAGAGGCAAAGACTTTGACTTCCATTGATCATCGGTTAGAGTGACATATGACTTATTCTTTTATCATATTCTCATAGTACTTGCCACTACGAACGCATAGGCGAAAGCCGTTTGCGAGTCCGAATTATAACGGTATAATTACGAATGTTTGAAGTTGGTTATTTAAAGGTAGTTAAATTATTTGAACTCCCACCTTGTGGGAAGACTAACTAATCATCCTTAAGTAATGAGGAAAAAGGACCAATCAAATTAAAAGGGATGGAGGACCAGTGAGAAATCAGAAAAAAGGAAGAAAAGAAACAAAAAAAAAAAATAAAAATAAAGGGGAAAAGCTGGGAGCTTTTCCCATGGGTTTCCGTCCGTACACCTTCACGACCACCTATCTTCCAAGGCCGGTTCCGGCTAACTCCGATGGAGTTTTTCAATGTCACCACCACCATCTTGAAGCTCTCATTCCCCTCTATAAAACTCACCCAAGAACCACCTTGATTAACTGTGGTATGTGGTGGTTGGAGACCACGAAAGTTGACGAAAATCAATAGTGCTCCGGCCACTCTTTTCGATTTTCTGGCAAATCGGCAAAGCGATGGCCAATGCCACCACTTGGGCTTTGTAGCCCATCATCCCAGGAGCAAAACCCAACCAACCTTGACCCCGTTGGACCACCATAGACGACGAATCGACGTCGGGAAGTTTTAGGCACCCGCCGGCTTTGTGGTTGAGAATTTTTGGAAATAGTTGGATTTTCTAGCGAGTTGGGGTGGCCGACCGCCACCCACTGCAGCGCGTGGCTAGTGCGCCACCAATGCTATTTTTAGGTTATGTCGAATGTCTTGAATTTAGTCTTGATATTTGAATGATGTAGGTTGATCGTTGGAACCTAAATTCTCTGCGATACGTTAATAGGTATTTATGTGAATCGACGGTCCAACCGTTGGATCGTCACCAAACTTTGTTACATTGTAGTACATAATATTTGAAGAATGTAGGAACTTACAGATTGGGAATACAACGTACAGATCTTTCCGAATTGGATTTGTAAATTCATAAGATAAAACGTTAACCGCTAATCAGTTTTGGGAATTGACGAGGATCCAACCGTTGGATCGTAATAAAATTTTAATATGTTATTCTAGAAGCATAATGTGGATCTTTGGAAGTTACAGATTGGAAATCTGATATGCGGATCTTCCGAATCAAGTTATATAGGGTTGTAAACCTTACCGTCGTTCTTTGATCGACGGTTGACTTTTGGTCAATGCGTCTCAAATTATTCTTGAAGGTCCTTAAGGATATGTTTTATGTAAATTATGTATTCTATCAGTAAGAATTTTGAGACGTGATTTGATAATTGGTCATTGGCGACGATAGATCGTGATGTCTCGATGTGCGTGCAAGATAATCATAGCGTGGACTCCAGGTGAGTGGGTCTTTTTCTTTCATAGGCATATAATTGATAGTTCCACAAGCACTTCAATAATGATCTATGCTTGTTACCTACAATTACTCATTGCGAACTACGAATGGCTTAATCCCTGTTTAGGGTACGTAGGCAGTCTAACAAGACGTTAGATGCAGCTATATAATAAATGAGAATAAATAATTGAGACAATAACCTTGTTTAGTGAATTGAGCAATGTGAGGGACATTGGTGGGAAGTGTGAGATTTAGCTTTATGATTTGGTGATTAAATGTTGATCATAAATCAATGCGTGAAGAATCAAGAAATTGAAGTAAGGAAAGATAAGTAATGATAGTTAATGTAACTAGTGTCTAATTGGGCTTATCACTGATGATTACTCTCAAAAGTAAATAGTTTGGGAGTAAGGTGTTATTGATTGTACATGTTACGCCGTATTATATATTTTGGGAATATCATGAAATGTTTGGGTTTAGATTGCATCATGGCGAATTCATATGGATATTACCTGAACCTAACTATTGTGAATGCTTTGAAGTGCTAAATGACGCTGCGGATGCCCAGGTAAGCTTCAAGTGAGTACATGTTGATGTTAGTGATGGTAGTAAGTATGTTTGTGTTGAGATATATTATAGCTCATAAACCTGCACCTCGGTGTTAGTGCTCCCGCCCGTGGCCAGGGCACAGTCCTTCACATGATGTTCACCTCCCGCACCTTGCGTTCACCTTGGATCCAAGGTAGGTGCACATTCCTGTTGTACAGACCACTTTAGGTGGTTCTGACTCGTAGATGACCAGCGATTATTTGCACAATCTTCACGTGACCATAGCACTTGAGTGTATTTATTTACACCCAGTCTTGTCGTACAAACCACTTTAGGTGGTTTTGACTCGTGTGCAGGTATACTTATTGAGCTATTGGCTAGCATGATTGATGAGATATCGATAAGTCGTATAGGTCACAAGAGGTGACTCCGACTTATATGCTAGCCATGATTGATGAGATATGGATAAGTTGTACAGGTCACTATAGGTGACTCCGACTTATATGCTAGCCATGATTGATGAGATATGGATAAGTCGTACAGGTCACAAGAGGTGACTCCGACTTATATTCTAGCCATGATTGATGAGATATGGATAAATCGTATAGGTCACTATAGGTGACTCTGACTTATATGCTAGCCATGATTGATGAGATATGGATAAGTTGTACAGGTCACAAGAGGTGACTCCGACTTATATGCTAACCATGATTGATGAGATATGGATAAGTTGTACATGTCATATTAGATGACTCCGACTGATATATCATTTTGTATTGATTAAGTTCATTAGGCCTACGTATTAATGCATGGTGGAGTTGATGGACATGGCAAACCGTGGTTTTGGCCATTTCTGAGTATGGTTTGGATATATGTATATATGTTGTATTGTCTTATGGAAAACGATATGGGTTTTACATTGAGGGGCATTACTTTTAGAGAGGTAATAACTTTGGGAAGCTTGGTTTTATTGCTCATTCACACTCTCTGTTTGGTGCCCTCCAGGTTTTAGCTGCTGAGTTTGTATCAACAAGGATTTCTGGCGAATCTTAGTATTGATGGATACTTTTGAGGGTATGATTTTAACCCACACTTCTGTACCTTACTTATGCTCTGACATCGTGTGTGAAATGGGTTCGCTCCCGCTCACATCACACTCTAGTATTTAAAATTTTTAGGTTCAGATTATTCACATTTTTCTACACTCTATCACATTTTATGGCTTCATCACCTTCCAGGTGTCGGCCAGCACAGCTCGATTCAGGGTCCAAATGGACTTTCTGGGTCGGGATGTGTCAAAACTTATATTATAAAACCAACCATACAATTATAAAATTAACACTAAAATTTAAAAGTTATACCTACAACTTTAATCTTAATCCTAAAATTACAAAATTAAACTAGAATCCTAAACCTAGGATTTAAAAGTTAACAAATTTAACTAATTTAACAAATTAATCCTAATAAGTAATACTTAATCCAAAACTTATAAAATTAACGGTCAACCCTAATATTATATATTGTCCTCAAAATATAAAATAATACCTAACACTAATACATTAATCCTAACATCATACAATTAACCCTAAAATTATAAAATTAATTATACCTAAAACTAAAATCTTAATCATAAAATTAGAAAATTAAACTAAATTCCTAAATCCTGAAATCCCTAGAACCGCAAATCCCCATCCCGCCATAAACCCCTAATTCCCTAATTCTCCCAATCCCTAATTTCCCTAATCCGAAATTCCCAAATTCCCTAATCCTACAACATTCAGTTAAAATTGAAATTAAGCAATGAATTAAACTATGGTGAGTGTGAGAGGTGATAGAGAAAGAGAAAGGTTACCTGCGATGAAGTGAGAGATGACAGTTGAGGGTTTTGGTTGTTGCAATGGTGAGAAACTTGCCTAAGAGAGAGAGGTGACAGAGGCGAGAGAGAAGGCGAGAGAAAGCCTGTATTAGAGATAGAGGTTTGGGAAGACGGACAGTGAGAGAGAGTAGTTGGGTTCGCGAGGAAGAATGAGAGAAGAGGTGCTCTCTATAAGTTTTAATACGATGCACTTTGCGCAATGAAGGTGTCTGTCGAAAAATTTAAAATCCGCCCAATTTTTCGTTTAATTATTTTACTATTGAAGACCCTTGCGTGACGAAATCATCTTAAATCGTCGCACAAAGTCCTTGCAAACTAAGACGATTTCGTTGCGCATGTTCGAAAACTGAAATTTATCAGCACGCCCAACTCTTTGTACCAATTTAAATTTAAGGAAGATTGCGCGACAAATAAAACACAAGCCGTTGCGTATAATTTACTTATGCAACGAAGATCAATTACTCCATTGTGTAAGTCCAACAATTTAATTACACCCCACCAAAATTAAAACCTTTGCACTACAAGGATGTTGTCGCTTATAGAGGTTTTGTGCAACGAATATCCGCTGTTTGTTGCGTAAAGGGTCTTTACGCGACAAATTGTAATGTTTTGTCGTGCAAAATTTAGTTTAATATGTTTAATTTATCCTTTATTTTATTACAAATTTAATATTAAATTAAATTTTATTACAAGTTTAATTTATCCTTCATTGCATATGAGTCCAAAGTTATGATTAATCCTCATCCTCGATACAATAAATATCACTATCCTCACTTTCATCACTTTTGGTCTCCCATTTATCCTCGTCCATTAGTACATCAACATCGTCGTTCGCGGCCTCAAGTGGATTGTATCTTAGGAGACTCTCTAGATCAATTGTAATTAAGTCTACAGGAATTTTGATTTGAGGACCTCTAGCTACCTGAAACGGTTCTTGGACAATATCAGTATTTCAAAGTGTGTATGCACTAATTTATGTCGAAGTTTCGAGGAGTTGGCCGATAAAGTTGTTGTCATCGTTATCGTCAATAGGACCTCGGTCCGGAATATCATGCACTCCTCTGTGATCAATCCTTTGAACAACTTTCCATCCCCTCCTGGCCTTTGGCCCATCGATGTAGAAAATTTGTTTGGCCATCGTTGCAAAAATGTGCAGGTCTTCACTATATCAACATTAGTTAATGTTCACCGACATTAAACCATCATCCTGCTTAACACTCCCATTCTTGCAAGGGTCTGTATCGAACCAACTATAATTAAAAAGGATGACTTGGCAACCGTTTTTGTAAAGCAATTGCACAACACTTGTTAGTTTGCCATAGAAATCAATGTCTGCAATATCCCCCCATTGTTGGGACATGTACCCCACTATTTTGAGTACACAGCTTGTCATTACGATTAGCTTCTATGAACTTTATGCCGTTTACATGACATCCTGAGTACAATTCTGCGCTTAGGGGTCCAATAGCCAAGTTGTATAATTCTTCAGTGTTCACGAGGGAATTGATTTCTTTCAATTTTTCACCTAATTTATAAGAAACATTTGACATGTTGGTTTTACCAAAATTTAACACAACTGACATAAAATTATACTTTTGGAAATAACCCTAAAAAAAGCCCAAACAACTTACTTGTTCACGAAACCAACGAGGAAACAATTCACAATGCTTCACAACATATCAATGTGAAGGATGTTCCCATTTCATCAACTATTCACGCTTGTCCTGGTACTTCATTATCTCATCACAATTGTTAAACATGAACCAATGGGCTACCTGTATGTCCCTTTCGGTATATGAATTGCCTCGTACTGGTTCGCCAAGGAGCCGTGTGATTGGGCAAAAACCATAAGTATTCATCTCAAATGCGTTGTGGTCATTATTGCACTGTGGTCGATTGAACGTCGTCTCAACGTCTTATAAGTACATAGCATAAAAAGTATTCATCTCAAATGAGACCCAAGCCTCCATCATTGATCATTCGATTGGGCTTCGTCCTGTTTTGTACACTCTTCTTTAACTTACCAAGCAGTCTAAAAAAATAAAAATGTTATGATTCAAATAAGTTAAATCATCAATTGATCAAGAATTAATAAATTACTGAGGATGTTATACCTTTCTATTGGATACATCCATTGATAGTTGATGGGTCCGACAAGTAATGCCTTATCCGGTAAGTGAATCATCACGTAGATAATGCTTGTGAAGAAAGATGGAGGAAATATTTGTTCAAACTTGCATAGGACTTCGATAATGTCAGCACATAACTATTGAACATCAGACTTTTGCAATGTCCTAGAAGATGATTGAGAAAAGAAAAAAAAAATCTCGTCAACAACATAATCAGCTTCACCACATTTTCGGGCAAAATGTGTTGAATACCAACTAGGAGCAGGCGTTGCAATATGACATGACAATGGTGACTCTTCAGCCTAGAAAATTTGTCGCTCTCCACGTTTACGCATCGACTATTATTTGACGTATACTGATATGGAAACTTTACAAAGGATAGAAATTGTAAAAACTCTTTCCTTTTTTCTAGTTTTAATGAAAAAGATGCAAGCCCCTTTCTAGCTATCTCACCCTCTATCATTATCCACAAACATGGCTATTCACTCCAAATTGATGCGAGCTTTGGTCGTGTCCTTTGTTTTTTCCTTGATGTCTAATATAGTTCCGACTAGTGTATTAAACACATTCTTCTCAACATGCATAACATCGACTTTGTGACATAGTTTTAATTCCGACCAGTACGGCAGCTCAAACAACATACTCTTGTATGTCCAATTAAGATGGGTGGTTGTTCTAGTCTTATTTACCGATTTTTCGAACGGACCAAAATCCAAACTATTCAACTGAGCCAAAATATTATCTCTGGACCATTCCCTAGGTAAGAAACTTTCCCCGCGTGCCATGAAGACGTTACGTCCTCCTTGCAAATTGGGCATGCCAAATAACCCTTAGTACTCCACTCGGACATCATAGCATACACGAAAAAATCGTTTATAGTCCACATTGTTGTTGCTCGTAAGGTGAACATCTGCCCAGTTGCTTTATTGTATGTCAGAACTCTGTTTTCCCATAAATCATTTAGCTCATGGACCACTGGCAGCAGATAAACATCGATAGACTTGCCTGAATCCTCGGTTATTAACATAGTCATCATCATATATTATTTCTTCATGCAATTCCAGCAACCAATTCTACGGAATTACGAAGATTGGCCAAGTGTTGTGGTTTTTGTTTAGAACCCCGAACAGATTAAATTCGTCTATGGTAAGTCCCAATTTCACATTTCGCGGCTCTCACGCAAAATCAAGGTAGAACTGATCAAACTCTTTCCAAGCCTCTTTATCAGCAGGATGCCTCATTAAGTCGTCATCCACCCTTCTATCCTTATACCATCTGATAGGAGCATAATTAGGCGACTTACTTAGCTTGTTTTCGTGCATTTATATTGTTAATTCCTAGTTGTTTTAGTAATTTAAGCTATTTTCGTGTGTTTTAGGTTCATATGGCTAAGGAAGCAAAAAGATGCATTTTGGAGCATTTTGGAGCAAAATTGGGCTTGGAATGGATGGCTTATGCTTGGAGCCAAAATGTTGGACGAAATCGAAGGCCTTGTATGCACTTTAGGACATACAACAAAGGGCCTAGCCCATTCTCTCTTAAACCAACCCCAAGGCCATGCATTCCCTTCCAATTCCAACATCCACAATCACTTCAAAGCCATACAAAACCTTTCAACACCCTAGCACATTCTCATTCATTCACATGTTTTCATTCAACCACATGCACTCATCATCATTCAACCTAGTTGTCACTCACATGCTTCCCCATTTCATTATTCATTCACCTTTCATTCAACCTAGTTGCCACTCACATGCATTCACACACACTTCACACAAACACCTTCCTTGCCGTGCCTTGCACTCCCCCTTGCATTTCCAGCATTTCACTTCATCATTGCACCACATTCTCCCTCTTTAATTCACATGCATTCATCATCATTCACCCTAAATGCCACTCACATGCCTTCACATTCATTTCCAACAACAATCACTTTAAATGCCATGCATTCACATGCATTTCCAGCAAGAAAACACCCTTGTCGTGGCTACCTTTGCTTTCCAGCTTTCCCCTTGTGCAATTCCAGCATTCCACTTCATCATTCCAGCCACCAAGACATTATTCCTTCATCATTACACCACATTCCAGCCTTGCCATGCATAACCCACCACAGAAATCATCACATGCACCCAAACAAGTCTTTGCTGTGGGTTTTCTGTGCAATTCCAGCACCTACACACCTTGCCACATGCTTTCCAACTTTCCACTAACTTTCCTAGCTGTTTTTCCACCACATTCTAGCCACATGCCTGCTTAAACAAACAGCCATATACACCTCCATTCATCCTATAAAAACCCTTGCATTCCCATTCAATTTCACACATCCATTACCACAACACAAACAAAAACACCCATCCTGAAATTGCCTTGCCGTGAGCTCTCCTTCATTTCCAGCATCTATACATTCATTTCACACCATCTTCCCCTTAGAATCCCTTAGCCGTGCATTCATACACATTCCCATTCATACACAATTCAAACCAACAACATCCCTTCGACCTTATGCTACAACGAAGAGGAGGAGAAGAGTGCCTAAACGTTCATACAATTCAAGTTTGAGTTGTTGGAATTTTTAGGTATTGCTTTTCCTCGATTTCAATGTTTAATTTCAATTCTCTTTGTCTTGTACGTATGAGGAACTAAACCCCCCCTTGGCTAGGGGGGGATTCGAAATACATGTTTATGCTTGCGATATGATTTGATTACTTCTAATTGCGTTTCATAAGTTGTGGATTCAATTTGTTTAACTATTTGATTGATAACCTATTTATGTATGTTTATTGAGAGTGCACGCTTAATTTTCATGCATGAATATGACGCTAGAATATAAGTGAGTTTCACCTAATAGTTATGAACTTATATTCACAAGTAGTGGAGGTTGCTTATAAACAATCGCGTTAAGTAAATTCTTGGCATAAGTTTCATGCAATCATAGTAACGAATGCCTCGTCAACACTTATGGTTTTCAAAGAACTTAATGATTCTTGCTTGTATCTCTATTATGCAATTCATGTAGGGAACTTGTGGGAAATGCTTTGGGTTGTCGTATGCAATCATCCAATTCATTAACTTAAGGAAAACTTGACAGTTAATTTAAACGGACCTAATTAACCCGGGGTGTTGAGAATTCATGGTTTATTGAAAAGCAATTAGAAATCATTTTGTATGCAAGTATAACATGTGTGGAGATGAACCCCTTAGCTAGCTTCCCATCCATTCATT